CACGGCGGGGATGCAAAGTCATCAGGGGAGAGCCTGGGCAAGTCGATGGGCAGCCATTAGCAGAGGCAGGTGGGTTAAGGGGATGCATTTCCTTTTCTGTTTTCGGGCATGTTGAAGATCCCGGCCCCCGGCCCCATCCCCAAAGGAGACACTCAGCCCTCTACAATGACAATAAAATGGTTTAATGATGAAGAGCTAAGTTTCAACTAGCACTAACACAAGTTTTGGCAATCTTTCTCTCTCCCCTCTCCTTTCATCATTGTTCCTCTAACACGCTAGTCCTCAGTATCCAATGGTGGAAAAATAAAATTTGCAACCCTAGAATTTTCATAGCCGTGACATGCTAAGGGTGTGGCTATGTAAGCATGTCCAGTGGAAAAATTGAGTAGGGGTTTGTGGCGGCAGCACCTTCTACATCCTTTGGCTCCTTGGTGAGGGTTCAGCTGTTCCATGGCGGGTTGCAGGAGCTGAAGAAATTCAAGATCAGGGCCTGCCTCTAGAGGGAGGCTATTATCCTAGGGAGGCTATTATGTGAGAAGAGGGTACACTGTATCTGAGGTGACAACACTCATTGGTCAAGATAGAAGGGCTTTGTTTGTGTGATGCACTTTCTCTGGGCGTCTATGGTCAGGGTTGTTACATAGTTTTTTAAAAATTTAAATTGTTAGCCAAGCTCAGTGGCTCAGCCTGTAATCCCAGCACTTTGGGAGGCCAAGGAGAGTGGATTACCTGAGTCTGTGAGTTCGAGACCCACCGGGGCAACTTGGTGAGACCCTGTCTCTACAATAAATAAAAAATTAGTCGGGCATAGTAGCACACGCCTGTAGTTCCAGCTACTTGGAAGGCTGAGGCAGAAGGATCGCTGGAGCCCAGCAGGTCGAGGCTGTGGTGGCTGGGAGCATACCACTGCACTCCAGTCTGGGCGACAGAATGAGACTCCAACTCAAAAAAAAAAAATTTGAATTATTTTGTAGAGACAAGGTCTTGCTATGTTGCCTAGGCTAGTTTCGAATTCCTAGGCTCAAGTGATCCTCCTGCTTCAGTCTCCTACAGTGCTGGGATTACAAGCATAAACCACCACGTTTAGCCTTAAATGCATATAGTTCTATTTACTCTTAGAATCTTTCCTACTAAGATCAATATAGAGTTTAAAACAACAAATCTGGTTCCTCTGTCACTCTCAGGAGCACCAAGGGGACACAAGTTTACATTAGCAACCATGACACAGAAGCGGAAGAGAAATCTCATTCTCTAGTGCCACCGGCACACCAGAGGCTGGAAACCTCTGGCCTTGGCTTTTTCCGATCTGACCTCTTTCTGCACTTTCTGCTTTTCCCTAGATCACTCAGGCCTCCACAGATCATCTTACCCAGCCAGTCCTCCAAAGATGTCCTTGACATAAGAGTAGTCACCTCCAGATTTGGGGATGGTGACCCCGAGCTCAGCATAGCAGAGGGCTCCCACAGCTGTAATGAGACCTGTCACGATCCAGACGATGAGAGCCAGGCCCACAGAGCCGGCGTTCTCCAGCACACCCTTTGGCGAGACAAAGATTCCGGAGCCAATGATGTTCCCTGTACAGGGCACAAGGGTAAAGAGGGGAGACAGACAGTAGTCAGGACAGTTGTCAGCACTGGCATTTGCGAGGTGGTCTCATGTCTGATCTGATTCTAAAATGCCTTGGAGATGCGCACATGAGCTTTAGGAAGGTATACCTAGCGATAAGTCTCCCTAAAGTAGGATAAAGAGGAACAAGAGCCAGGTATGGTGGCTCACACCTGTAACCCCAGCACTTTGGGAAGCAGAGGCAAGAGGATTGCCAGAGTCCAGGGTTCTGAGACCAGCCTCGCCAACGTGGCGAGACCTCATTCTTACAATAAATTAAAAAAATTAGCCAGGTGTGGTGGCACACATCTGTGGTTCCAGCTACTTGGAAGGCTGAAGTGGAAGGATCAACTGAGCCCAGCAGGTTGAGGCTATGGTGGCTGTAAGCATGCCACTGCATTCCAGCCTGGGCAACAGAGTGAGACTCCTACCCCCCAAAAAAGAGGGGCAGAGAACTGACACTATTAGCCAGGAATGTGGTCAGGTGCTTTACATGTCTCATTTAATCCTTAGGACAACACCATGGAATCACATATCATTTCTCACATGTTACAGAGGAGAAAACTGAGTCTCAGAGATCCCAAGTGAATTGCCTAAGTCCACATAGTAGTAAGTGATGGTGTGAGTACTGAATCTCAGGACCTTCCAACTGGGCTACACATGATCTACCCAAGGTGACAAGGGCCTCATGATTGGCTGAAAACGGCAGGACTGGAAAAGTGGGCTGGTCTCAGAGACTATCTGCCAGCTACAAGGCTTCAGAAATGAGCCCAAGGGCAATATCTTTTGGACAGATTCGGCGTTTTCAAGACCTGTGAGTGTGGACAGCACACTTGGAGGCTGGTTTCTACCCCAAACACAACAGCCCCACCCTTGGTGAAGAACATAAAATAATCCTATAAAAACAGCTCTGCTAGTTTGGAAGTGGTTTGTAGGAATCCAATACGTGCAAAGCTTCAGTATTATATTATTTTAAAGGTCATTTCCCTTCAGTGTTGCATGTGACCCTCACAACAACCTTATGGAATTCAGGGAGAGGAGGAAGGGCAGGCATTTCTCTATTTTAGAAACCAAGAGACTAAGACACAGAGGGGTTAAGTGGCTTTCTCCAAATTCCACAGCTACTGATGGGTAAAATTGGATCTAGAAGTCGGTCTCCTGATGCTTAATCCAGTGCTCTTTCCACTAATCCACTTCTGCTTCTGTGTGCAAGAACTTGTTTTCTCCTGAGAGTTGGGGCCAGCAGCAGGCACTGAATGGCCGGCTACTGGGCTGTGTGTGTTAGGCAGGGGAGGAGTAGGAGTGTGCTTCCTCCCAAGCGTTCCACTCTTGTGGTAAAGGAGGTAACCAGAGTCCACAGGTGCTTTGAAAGCACTCTCTTCATGCCCTGCTCGGTTTCACCACCAAATGCCTGAGTGAAGAAGAAGAGACCAGATGGATCCAGGCAAAAAGGCAGAGTTGTAGTATGAGGTCAGTTGGATTTCACAGTGTTCGAAACACATCTAAAATTCCCACCATCTCTCTTTAGTGGTTTGGAGCCAGTTGTGTGGTCAACTTTCTTTCTTTCTTTTTTTTTTTTTTTTTTTTTGAGTCAGAGTCTAACTCTGTCACCCAGGCTGGAGTACGGAGCATGCTCACAGTCACCGCAGCCTCAACCTGCTGGGCTCAGGTGATCCTTCTACCTCAGCCTTCCAAGTAGCTGGAACTACAGGCATGCACTACCATGCCTGGCTGACTTTTTTATTTTTTCTTATTTTAAAGATGTGGGGTACAATTCAGGGAACTTATTGATTTATTGTAGAGATGAGGTCTTGCCTTGTTGCTCAGGCTGGTCTCGAACCTCTGAGCTCAGGCAATCCTCTCGACTCTGCCTCCCAAACTACTGGCATTATAGGCATGAGCCACCACTCTGGGCCCATTCTCAGCTTTAAAAACTGGCTTTCAAATCTCAACCATAACTCAATCTCAATCCAGTCTTGAGACTGAAATATAGAATCAGAGGGCATAGGCCACATGTAGATGAAAAGGAAACACATTTCTGTCTCAAATATATCATTTTCTTTTGGTGCAAACATTCTCTCCCAACAGAACATTGCTGTTTATAGCAATACAACTGAAAGAAGAAACAATCTCTCCTATCAAATTCGTGATATAATTATCAGGCAAAGAGAAGATAGAAAAAGGAGATTCCGAGGGTCACCAGACCTATGGACTTTTCTTGTATGTTTATGTAAAGTTCTGATAGGAACGAGCAAACACCTTTCACCCTCTTCTCTCCTCAGCCAGTCCCCAGATGTGCTTTGCAGAAGTACTGGATGAGTAAGACTAAAAGACCCACACTTGGTATCCCAGGATTCAAGACATGTTCAGACAAATGACTCTTCACTTGCCAACACTGGAAGCTACCAGGTGTTGGGAAATGAGAGAACTAGAGACAGGCTTGCTAATATTGCTGAACGATGATAGTAAATTCCTTGCCTAGCAGGAAGTTATCAAAAGAGTGTTCTATAGGGCATTTCCAAGTCAGCCAAGAAGAGAGCAATTGAACTAGGGTTATAAAACCTGCTCAAGGGGTTAGAAGAACAATTAATAACAGGAGGAAAATAAGGTTTGACTTTGGTCTTTAAGGTACTGGTAAAGGGAGGGGTGTAGAGCTAGATGTTTCTTAGAGCCCAGAATGGCTGTTGCAAGGAGGAATGTGGGAGTGGGTGTTATTTAAAAGATCTGATTTTCTCAGGAATGAAGAGTTGGTCAATGTGCCACCAAGGGTTCTTGGAAAACAAAGACTGCAATAGGGATTGGTAAATTTGGGATCAGTGAGTGCTTCTCTTCTGTTTTTCCACCAGCATTTCCGGAGTGTGTGTGCTCTCTCCTTTGTTCTGGTTGTAGGAACCACGGGAAGATGGGATGTGCCACAGTAGCTGCCTTTTCTGACCCACTTTCTACCTCCATTTGTTCTTAGAGGCTCAATGACCTTCCAGGGAGCTGCCAGTGTGATTGTGAGGGTCATAGTAGGTTGGCACTGGGACAGGAGAACTCATTTTATAAAAATTGGGTTCTTACCCCCCAAATACCTTAATTTTGACCAATTAAATTTCCAAAAATGAGGCAATCTGCTCGGGTCCCCTCCCACTTGGGGAACTTTTTGTCCTCTCAATAAATCCTGCTTTCTCACTGAAAAAAAAAAATTACAAAAACGAAAACTAAACAACAAAATTCAGCTATGCAAGCCTAAACTGGGTGCTAGGGAACAGGAAATAGAGGAGTTTCTCTCTCTGATTCTAGGAAACTATCATTAGAAAACCAGAACCTGGTAGGGCTCAGTGGCTCAGCCTGTAATCCTGCACTTTAGGAGGCCGAGGTGAGTGAATTGCCTGAGCACGCATTGCGGGTTTGAGACCCACCTGGGCAAACTTGGTGAGACTTCATCTCTACAATAAATCAAAAAAATTAGCCAGGCATGGTAGTGTCTGCATGTAGTTCCGGCTACTTGGAAGGCTGAGGTGGAAGGGTAGCTGGAACCCAGCAGGTCGAGGCTGTGGTGGCCGGGAGCGTGCCACTGCACTCCAGTCTGGGTGACAGAGTGAGACTCCAACTCAAGAAAAAAACAACCAGAACCTGAGAACATTTCTTCCACTTTAGCAGGCTCTGGTATTTCTGCAGGGAGAGGAACGTCACCTACAACAGAACTATGTTCTGCTGCTAAAAGAAAATTTATATTACATTTACTCAAAAGTAATGTCTACTATATAAATCTTTATTTATTTTTATTTATTTATTTTTGTAGAGACAGGGTCTCACTATATACCCAGGCTGGTCTCAAACTCCTGGCCTCAAGTGATTCTCCCACCCCGGTCTCCCAAACTGTTGGGATTACACACATGAACCACTGTGCCTGGCCTCCATATGCAATTTTTAGTGTGAATATTTATCTTCCCTACTAGACTGTAAGCACCATGAGAGTAGGAACTATGCTGCTTTCTGTCATCTGTGAAGTGTCACCTAGAAGACACTCCATAAAGATTTAATGAATAAATGATGTTTGATATCATTTGTGGCATCTTTACAGAGCAATGTAATATACCTATTTCTTTGGAACCTCCAAATCCTGTGAGAATGTTGGTGTGGACTGTAGGCAAATGAGTAAAGCAACCTACTTATTTCATTTCTGAGGAAAGAAGATTGGCTATTATTATTACTATTATTATTTTTGAGTCAGAGTCTCACTCTGTCCCCAAGCTGGAGTACAGTGGCACACTCATGGCCACCACAGCTTCGACCTGCTGGGCTCAGATGATTCTTCCACCCAGCCTTCCAAGTAGCTGGAACTACAGGTGTGCGCCACCACGACCAGCTAATTTTTTTTGAATATACTGCAGAGACCAGGTCTCACCAAGTTACCCAGGCTGGTCTTGAACCCCTGAGCTCAGGCAATCCTCTTGCCTCGGCTTCCCAAAGTGCTGGGATTACAGGTATGAGCCACCATGCCCAGTTTAGGCTGGCTATTATTACCATCTCCAATTTATAGCGGAAGAAAGTAGGGCAACTATTATTCTCATTTTTCAAATGAGGAAAATGAAGGAGGTATTATTATCCCTATTTTATGGATGAAGAAGCTGAAACTCCGAGAGGTAGTTATTTGCTTAAATCACAGAGTGAGTTAGTAGGAGCTAGATTAGAGCCTAAATCTTCTGTCATAGTCTCAAGCTTTTCCCTGAAAACAAAAGGTCTTTCTACATACACTGGAGTCAGTCTTCCATGCTCCACTCCTTAGGCTATGGGAATGGTTCACAAAAGTCACCTATTAGAGAATTGGAACACAGACCTGACTCCTTCCTTCTATGGCAGTACCACCCTCAACGGTGACTTAACAAAACATTCACATCCATTTCTTTACCTGATTATCATACCTACTTCCTTAGGTGCAAAGAGCAGATACTATCATTCCTATTTTACCTTTGCAGAAACT